TTTTTATCCCAGATAGAGCATGTCCAGATCGGCTCCTGACGATAAACCAGAGAAACTACTCCACCCAAAGCAGCGTGGCCAACCTGTAAGGGTTTTGGGGTGACTTACAGCAGTGTGGGGGATGGATTACAGGAGCGTGGGTGAGCAAAGGCAGCGGCACCACTGAAAAGCCCACCCCAGCCTGGGCCCGGACTCCTGGAGCTGCTGCAGGGCTCCAGACAGATCAGCCAGTACCAGGGTCTCTTACCCCAGCAGCTTAGGTAGCCTTTGGGAGGGGCCTTGTGAATCTTTTACGATTCAGCAGCTTCCGGAGACTTCTTTTGTTTATCTTCCCAGACTTAGTCAAATATTTTAATGCTGAGGAAACAGCGACATAGCAGTATATTTTAAAAACGCAGACATAAAAGACCTTGGGTTGCCAAAGGCAATGCTTTAGGTCGGGCAACCTCAGAACCTCCCAGAAGAGGGACTTGCCTATGAAATGAGCCTTGGCCGTGGAGTAAGAGAGCGGAGAGTAGCCGCTGCCGGAGGCAGGGTAAAAGGTGATGGACTGGATTCTGGGCCTCTCCGTTAGATAAGTCTTGAGGATAAACAGTCTTCAAAGGGTGATGGACACATCATTTATTTTTGCCAGCGTAACAAACAGAATCCCAGGCAAGCACTGTTAACCCAGGGAAGGGATTATCTTCTGTACTGCCTGTGCTGTGTTCCTGCAGAATGATGTCCCCTGGGAACGACACAGACATGGCTGTCTTAAGATCAGAGCAGCCGCGCCTGCCCAGGAGAGACCCTCACAAGGTCAGGAGTTTCTTTACTGGCCATGGTGATGGTTTGTTCTTCCCAGTCTTCTTCGACCCTTTCTACATGCGAGCACTCTTTTGTACGGAGCTTTGGTCGTTTATTGGTGCTAAGGCCAAGCATGTCCTCTGGCAGCAGGATAAAGCCAGTGTGTGGAACCTATCCCCTGCTCCGATAGCCCCTGAGTAGCCGGGACAAGCAGGACGATGAGGAATTGTACCAGGAAAAGCCTGCCACAGCTCTGTGTTGCTGTCAATAAAGATAATTACAGCTGCGGAGCTCTGTCCCCCAAGGAGATCCAACACTCTGTAGACGCTGTCCCATTGATCCTCATAACAAGAGGGTAACAGGGAGGAGTGAGCACTGAGCACCATCATCATTGTAAAGATGGAAAGCTCTCCTCGGGAGGCAGAGGCAGCTTGGCTCTCAGGGAGTGGGGTTTTGGTGTGAAGGTGTCAGGATCTTTGGTGTGCCATGCTAATCACCTCACTGAAGAGCGCCACCCCCAGATCCACATTGTTCAATTAGGACGTCCACACAGGGAGGTCTCAGAGGCTGGGCTATTCCAAAATGGAAAATCATTGATTTAAAGGTGATTTTGTTCTCTATAAATATTGTTTCTCTCTCTCTCTCTCTCTCTCTCTCTCTCTCTCTCTCTCTCTCTCTCTCTCTCTCTCTTTCGACTTGCTGTAAAAATTATACCCAAGGAATGATGGAAGAACAAATGCTAATATTGTGTAATTATAAAAGCTGGAATGGGCATGGCTCATAAGGAGTGTTTAAGGTAATAATCAAGATCCCTGAGTTCTCCTAGAATGTCATGAGCACGAGACAGGAGACAAAGTAAGACAAAGTAAGTGGTGGAAAATGTGAGCTGCTGTGAGCTCTGTCACGTTAAAGCAGAGCATTTGGGTTCTGTGGTTCCTGATAGTCAAGCTGAAAAGGAAACCACGCTGGTTTATAATGGTGTGTATCTAACAAAATAAAATATGAGGCCAAGGGAGTTTAGGAGTGTGAGCTCAAAGGGACAAGGGAGCCTCAGAACAGTGGTCAATCATAAAGAGTGACTGTTCACCCCAAAACATGGCTGTCTCCCCATCCCTCACCTGTTAGAGAAAAGAGAAATGAGATTAAGTTTATCACAAAGACAACTTGAGCGAGACCATGGGAGCAGAAAGCTCTGTGAGCCTGCTTGGTGCCTGGCAGGTGGGGGACATTTTTGCCGGGTCTCAGCCTCCAAACTCCTGTGATACTAGGTGATGGAGGACAGTCCTCTGGCCTCAGGCATCCCAGTCATCCCTGACTTGCAGTTTTACTAGTCGACCTCTCACTTCATCCTGGGGTGCACCATGCCCCCGGGCTCTGCCCCAAAAGTGGCATCAAATGCTTCGTGTTGCTGAAAATAATTGGCTTTTTGCTAACTAGGCCTCTCTGAGAGAAGTTTTCAAATGTCTGAGAATCACATTTCTAATGGCCATATTTTCAGATGCCTAGCCTCCTTAGAAAATGCCTGGCGGGTGCTACTTGCTGTGGAATAGCTTTCTGTACACTGTGAATATGTGCTACTCTGATTAGTTGATAAATAAAGCCATTTGGCCTATGGCAAGTCAGGTTTTAGCTAGGTGGGAAATTGAAGAGAGAGACAGGAAGACGAAAGGCAGAGGCGGAGGAGACACCATCCCATCATCCAGGGAGCAGCATGTAATGGCACACAGGTAAAGCCACAGAACATGTGGTGACATATAGATTAATAGAAATGGGCTGATTTAGTTATAAGAGCTAGCTAGCAGAAAGATTGAGCCATGCCATTTGAGCCTTGGCCATGCAATTTGTAATTGATATAAAGTCTCTGTGTGTTTACTTGGGTCTGAGCGGCTACAGGACTGGGTGGGACACAGGAAAACTTCCACTACATTTGGCTGCCCAATGTGGGGCAAGAGTTTCCACCTAAAACCTGAGAAAGCTTAAAAAAAAGATTCTAAAATGGAGCTAAAAACAGCTTGCTAGTTAGGTCTCTCTAGCAAGCCGTGAGGTACAGTATGGCGGGTTCACAGCAGCATATGAGCTTGACCTACAGCATGGTAGATTCCCACCGTGGTATACAGAGGCCTCTCCAAGCCGCACAGTAAGCTGCTTGGTGGATTTAGCTTTTGATAGTACAGGGAAAAAAAAGTTTTCTGGGCTACTCGCTGTTGGATGGAGGCATGGACCCACTGCCTCCCAGAGTCAGCGGAGAGCATGGCTCCCAGAGCTGGAGGTGAATTACTGCCACCATGTTGAAAAGCTGAAATGGGTGGAGTCAGCAGCCAAGGCTGCCACTTAAGTCATAAAAATGCAGTTTAGCAGTTTAAAAATCTCCCCTGGTCAGAGAAAGATTATAGATTCACAATAAGTCAGATTCAGATAGAATAAGACTTTAAATGGTTTACAATGTGTGCAAAAATGTATGCAGGCTTGGAAGAGAGAGGAAAATGAATATAGACAGTTATATAAAGAAATAGATAGTTTCAAAAAAAAAATAAAGTCTTTAAAGAGACAGTAAAAATAATATAAAAAAATAAGCCACGTGGCCAGGTGGCAGTGGCCCATGCCTTTAATCCCAGCACTCAGGAGGCAGAGCCAGGCAGTTCTCTGTGAGTTTGAGGCCAGCCTGGTCTACAGAGTGAGCTCTATGACAGGCACCAAAACTACACAGAGAAACCCTGTCTCAAAAAACAAAAACAAATACAAATAAACAAAACAAAACAAAAGCCATGTAAAGATGAAAATCACACAGAGTCTGGATTATATTGTCTTTGGGATTTTTAACTGCAGAGAGACATTTGATTGTAAAAGCCACTAAGTTAAACCAATATGTATATTTTAAAGTTATTTTAACTTCAAAATTTGTTTCTGAGGATATGCTGCTTTGGAAAAGAGGTTCTGCTTTTGTTTCTACAGAAGATGAGAACCTGTGGATTGCTTCTACGCTAATATGGTTTGATCATCTAAGACCCCCTGAGAGGTCTCCAGATGATCCAACATCCAGAACAGCTTCAAGGCAACTGGCTCAGAGAATACAGCATCACAGACTACTCCAGTCAAGACGTGACCATAATTCTTAATTTTCTCAGGATTCCCATAAGATTACCAGTGCTCCCTATCAGCAGGAAGTAGTATGAGAAGCTATGCCCAAATTCCCAAAATATTGTTTATGAATGTTTATTTTTATTTAAAGTAGGTTGATTTTAAATGCAATCTCTTTATAAAGAAGAAAAGGGAATAGTATAGATATGATAAGATGAAAGGGTAGATTATTGAATCTACTTTTAAAGAGTAACAACTTGTTTGAAATGTTTTACATTGCTATGGATTTTAGTTTACTGATACAAATTTAAAGTTAATTTTGTTATACTGTATGCATATTTCTACTCTTGTTTAAGGTATTATGTTTGTATAGCATATTTGAAATTGTAATGCATAATTAAATACAGATTAATAATTAGTCATCTATGATAACCACACTTATAGTCATGTTAGTTAAGTTTTCTAGGTATACATAGATATATTTCAATTAGGTAGGTGATCTTCAAACACTTCAAATGCCTACAGAATATGGCATTTAAAATGTTTTAGAAACTTAGACTTTCTGGACAGTGAGACATGTCTGCTCCTGGCAGCACTGATTTACTTCAAAGAGAAAGATGGACATCAAAGATATTCCATATGGAGTTTATCTTCTTCTTGGCACAAAATAGCCATTTGGACAAAAACAGCTCTTGTCTGGACTGCTTGACAGGATGTTATATAAACTGGACATGAAGGACCCATAAGAAGATGGCCACTGAACTTTGCAAGGCGAGATGGTCCTTCAGGTTCCTGCTTCACAGAAGAGACTGCCAGACATTCTGCAGGACACAGGGAGAAGCAACCAGAAAACTCTAGGCCTATTGGCTGAAGATGGATGCCCCAACGTTACATAGGAACTTTGGATGACTGTCCAGGAAGGCAGCTGTCTCTGTCATTTCCAGAATTTTTGGAAGTTGCTTACAATGTACTTCCTGTTTACTTAGGTAATATCATATCCCTCTGGGGTCTTTGATGTAGTTGAAGACTATATAGCTATAATTTTCCTCAGTTATGATAAAAGATAAATTAGATATGAAACAAATATAGGATAGATGATAGAATATTTTCTTTAATTTTGCCAAATACAAATAGACTAGATAGTATAACTGTAATTCTTGCTTGATAACTGTTCTATTATATGTAATTTTACTAGGTTAAAGTTAAAACCTTCCTTTTTGATTAGACAGGAAAGGGGAAATGCTGTGGAATGTCTTTCTGCATGCTGTGAATATGTGTTACTCTAATTGGTTGATAAATAAAGCCATTTGGCCTATGGCAAGTCGGGTTATAGCTAGGGGAAATTGAAGAGAGAGACAGGAAGACGAAAGGCAGAGGCGGAGGAGACGCCATCCCACCATCCAGGGAGCAGCATGTAATGGCACACAGGTAAAGCCACAGAACCTATGGTGACATATAGATTAATAGAAATGGGCTGAGTTTAGTTATAAGAACTAACTAGCAAAAAAAATTGAGCCATAGGCTTGGCCATGCAATTTGTAATTGATATGTCTCTGTGTTTTTACTTGGGTCTGAGCAGCTACAGGACTGGGCGGGACACAGGAAAACTTATTCTACAGCTTCTAAATTGCCCTACACCTAAGTGTTGTCCAAAACTATGTGCTGACATTCTAGAAGAGCTCAGAGATCTTGACCACTCTCTTCAATAACCCCTTATGAGCAATGCCCATTCCAGCTAAATTTTACCCCAATATATTTTCATTTATAGTAAACACGTGTGTGTGTGTGTGTGTGTGTGTGTGTGTGTGTGTGTGTGTGTGTGTAAGAAATGTTAGCAGCTAGAAGTGCAACAGAAAAGGAAAAGTTTAACAAATGTTGCCTTAGTAATAAGATCACTCACGCCATTTGCTGCCATTTTAGCCGGGGATTAAACACAACTTGATTTCAGCAGCTACTGATATCATTTCTGGCTCTCAAAGACCTGTGAGATGAAAACTAAGCTTTAAAAGCTTTGCAGTTAATTGCTGCTGAGTTAAGTGGATTTTTTTTTTAAACACCTTCATGCTGACACATAATTTAGAAAATCAATCTGTGAGATGAGTCAAAATATGGGTCTGAAATACTCCTGGTTAATTACAGAAGGCCCTAAGAGACAGCCCGGCACAGAGGACAGCAGAGGGGCTGAGGCTACAGTAGTAAGCGGCAGGACAGTTGGGGCATCCTGGGGAGGGATGGGGGGATGGGGGGCTGCGGGTGCCCTGTAGGGGTTGAGAGAAGGGCTCTGTCTGCTGGGGGTGCGGTGCCTTTCCTTAGCCCACACCAGTTCCTCGAAGGCTGCTGCTTCTATCAAACTGTGTGCAAAGGCAGGGCATTCAGTGTGATTGGAGGCGACCCTTAATTCCACCTGACAAACAGTCACTGTCTCAGTCCACACGGCCTCACGGTTCAGGTCTTGACAGTCCTCCACAGCTGGTCCCCACCGGCTTGGTACCGTCGAGAGATGGCGGTGGTACATTTAAGAGTCAGGGTCTAGTGGTGGGCCTTGGGTCATTGGAGGTGTGTCCTTAGAGGGGGTTTGGTGACACTCGCCTCTCCTCTTCCTGCGTCTTCTGTAGTGCTTTCTGGTCATCAGGTTCTTGTCACATGATATGCTGCTGCCAGGGTGAGATAACCTTTCCGGGGTGGGTGTGGGGGTGGGTGTGGGGGTGGGGGTGGGGGTGGGGGTGAGGGCAAAAGCAGTGAAGTCAAGATCCCGGACGGACTGAAACTTCTAAACTCAGGAGTTGTGACAAAGCTTGGCTGTTGAAGGTGGCTCTCTCCATGATGCCCACATCAAATCTGGCCCTTGACAATATTATAAAAAACACAGGTTGGTCTTTGGTCATCGAAAGGCGCTAACAGACCCCAGCACGGCAAACATGGCTCTGGCAGGCCTTGCCCTTCCCCCCTTCCCTCTTCCTTGCTAAAAACCATCAAAGTACCGAAGTTCGGTAATCAGATGCCCCCTTTTGGCTTACCTAATTAACGTGCCCAATGAAAACAAGCCAACTCATCCTAACTCAGGGTGGGGGTGGGGGTCGGGGTGTTCCCCCTTTCCATTTATAAACTGCCATTTGCCTTGGGGCATGTCTATCTCCTCTCCATCCAGAGGCGTCCTTTGGTCCCTCGGAGGCAAATACCCCTCCCCCCTCTCCCCTCTCCCCTGTCCTCTGTCTCTGTCCTTGTCCCTTATTCCCGCCCTCTGTCCCTCTAGGGCAGTAAATCTCCTTTGCGCGGAGAACTTGGTCTTGGTGTGTTCTGTGCTGATTCCGGTCCCTGCAGCCCTAACTCCTCTGGACCTCTTTTTTCACCTCTTGGTCACTATCTTTTACCAGCCGCCATCGTCACTATTCGAGAAGCTATATCTTGCTACCAAACTCCGTAAGTTTTATGTGAATTTTAGACTCCGCCGCCTTTCCTCCCAAAGGACAGCTCTTGGTAATAGGTTTTCTGTGCCTCGATAGCAGGTTTCCCTGCCGACACAGTAAGCCAGATCGAATTGAAAAAGTAAAGGAACAGGTTTATTTGAGCAAAGCAACTCCTGGGTGAGATCTCCAGCCCCCAGCGATCAGAGTGGGAGAAGAGGCAGGAGAAAATCTTATGGCTGACCTAAGTCAGAGCGCTTATGTACCCTGTAGGCGAGGGGTGTGATGTACAGTGGTCTCCAAACAGTACGACCACACAGCCGCCATGACAGGCTTAGAGGCCCAGACACAGCTTCTGTGACAGGCTTACTGGCAGGCAGCACCCAGACCCAGGAAAAGCCATCAACTGACCCCACCCAGGGGGAGCCTACATCTAAGGAGAAGTACCTGACATTCCAAACATTCCCTATACCCCTAGACAAATGTCATCCCGTCAGGGTCCCGAACCCTGGAAATCCCCTCACCCCAACCTCTGCTATGATAAAAACCCCACCCTGCCTGGGCTCTGGGCTCTCTGTTCTTACTGCTGCGTCAGACAGACAGAGAGACCAAGACCTGGAGCTTGAAGGTAATAAAGGCTCTTTGCTTTTACATACACGATTCGGTCCCTGTGGTGCTCTTTTGGGGGTCCTTGCAATCTGGGCATAACAATAACATGTCCTCCATAAGCTGGGTTTG